CAACGTGATTCAGCAATCTACAATCACTACTATATAATACTGCAAGCGACAGGCTAAGACCACCAGTAGTCTCATTGGTCGCTTAATATGGACATTCTAGTGCGCAAGATTCACGAATCTTCAACTTTTGCGCCATCACCTACCACCTTGAGGCTAGCAGTCGTTCTGGGTTGGTGTAACAATACGCGTTGATAATAAAGGCGTCTGAGGCTTGATAGTGCTACATGGTCATGCTATGCTGGTCAAATGAGTTGATCTGAGATTTCTAGATAGTACAGTACTAGTAACACAGTGAATAAGCGAGTCCCGCACCGCACCATGCGTTCGCGAATCAATCGGCCGATTAAATTGATCGTTCCCAAGTTTGAGTATAAGCACCAAACCCCGTGTAACACCAGCCTGGACTAAACTCATACGTTTGTTCCTAACAAATGATAACAATACACTAGGATTTTGCTACGCTGAGGGCAAAGCTACATAGCACCATGGCCGCGGCTCCGAAATCAGGAGTTGTACTGAGGGATATTCGACTAAAGAAGCCAATTGCTATACCTATGTACGATATGTCTGTTTCAATACCGCTCTTGTAAGAATGCTCGTTGCTTCTAATGCCGGTGGTCGCTGTTATGTTTCTCTGTGCCTTTACGACGGAAGCTTTTTCAATTATTCTTGCTACGAGAATACAAGTCGCTACAGATATAACGGAGCAAAGTGACCTATTTAATATTTCACTAGTTATCAGTTGATAATCTCGAGATGTGCGAAAGCCAAATACAAAGAGACAAATACTAACCAGTTAGCACAAAGATCGGCCCAGGATACGTGTGCGCTCATGTTCAATATTTCGCGCGCTGATTTGTAACGGCTTTCTTTGCTCATGTCCGTGTTTTCTGTTTCTGGTAAAGAATGTATAGCAATAACGGCAAAATGATATTGGTTGATATAGGTTAGCCTGTGGCGTCTCTCATTATATGGAAGCGCCGACAAGTTGTCAAGTCTAAAATCGAAGAAAAAGTCGGTTTTCCACATCGTGAGCATGGCTTCAAGCCAACTTATGGTCGAGGCTGAGTTGTGTTCACAACCTGCTCTTCTACAGCATAAGTAGTTTTGACTGCTGTGCCGTTGGGTGTGGAGTTGTCGTAGAATCGCTGAACAAACTTCTGCGTAACGGATGTTTACGTTGAGCCAGTCGTCCCCTTTACAAGGAGAACCTTGGGATGCAGGAATACTGTGGTCCGTATATTCACTATGTATTAACTAAAGAGCTTTAAATTAGTAGCCGTTCCTAGGAGTAGATTATTCGTCTTAAAGATGATTCTATAAGATTCTTTGTCCTATAATGCACTACTTACTGGTAACAGTCCTTCTTGTAGGCAGTAAGGCTTTTCTATTGAGTAGATAGCCCAGAAAGCTCTCTTAATTCTTGCTTGTTCTAAGCAGTTAGAAGACAACTTGTCGATCGCGCTACAGCTATGTAGGTGAAGGGTCTGGAGGCCCGAAGTAGCGTCAGCCATCAAGCTAGACGTGGAATTGGCACCGATAGTACACGAGAAGTAAGTCTGATACATATCGTAAATCATAAGGCCGAGCTTTATATTAACCCATAGATGGAGGGCATTTACTAACCAGGGAAAACAGCGCCTGTCAGCCCACAGGTTTTTGTTAGCAGAATTTCAAGAACTAACATTGACGTAGTGTCCGCTTACCTGTAACGTCAAGAGATTGGTCTTATCATATAGATGAGGTTTCATGCGCAGAGCTATCCTGAAGAAGCCTATAGTTTCTCCTTTTATTGTACCCGTACTATGACTGAGATCCAGACGCCGAGAGCCAATAGCCAGTACTGAGAAAAATAAAGCAATACAGGCCAGATTGCTGACTAAAGGGTATAAAAGAACCTGGTTGACTGATGCATCCATGGTTGCCAAGTCTAGGAAGATTCCAATACTGCTAATCTGTTTGTTAGACGGCCAGGGTACTACCGATTATTTTCAAAAAAAAAAAGCTTAATTTGTTTTAAACTATCACATACCTATGCAGTTCTGCAAAGCAGGCTTCATGCATTAATGTTAGCAAGTTATTCTGTTTTGTAAGGATTAGATAGTATATTACCTTCGACGCGCTTGTAGAAAAGCTCTTTGTTAAAAGAACGCTCAGAACGAAGATCAGTAAGAACAGATATTATGTCTAATTCTTTGTAAGAACAATTGTTGGTTGTTAGAGAGTTCGCTGTTAGAAGCCCTTGCAATGCTTCTATAATGCGAGTGTTTTCATTTTTATGGGACTTTCTTATGCTTTCTAGTACCCAACAATAGAGAGACGAGCGAACATGGTCGAAATATGGTGTTTTCTCTATTCCAGTTTAGTCAAAGTTATAAATTCAGGGTAAGTGTAACCTAGCACTTGTCCATACCGGTAACAGCAGCCGAGGCTGACACAACATAGCTTCCTGAAAGATTGTTCGCACTGGAATAGTAGTGCATATCATCATGAAAACGTTGATCTGTGTCTAAGCCCTTGCAGTGGGTATCCTCGTGCCCTTTGGTGCTCCCCAGCAGCCCAAAGCTCAGAGAAGGTGTAGGAATTGGTTCGTCGACAGTGTCGTCCCATTGGTTCCAGTTTAAAAGAACCATAGGGTCTTCCGGTATGGGTGCATGGGCCAAATCATCCCAATAGAGATCAGCAGTTGAAGTCTCCAAGAAATTGTCGGGGAAGTTTGTGCGTGTGAGATCTTGCGAACTAGGTAAAGCACCTGCGTTTGAAGCTGTCTTTTTCTGTTGCCTTATATTGTCTGCCTCGCCATTCAGAATCGGATTTTGGGTCGAACAGTTGCTTTCGGTATACTGGCAGTTTGTAGATGCTTTCTGAAACTCTTATTAATATACTTGGTAAATATAGATAATTATATATATGGCTAATTGATCTTACGAGACAATGTTGACAAGGCGTTGACCCGTTACCTGTACTACTTAATTACTGCTAAAATTGTGTCCATGACTCATTCAGATACTTACATGCCACTTTTCTGTGTTTGCAATTCCCACACGCTCCTCGACGGCGCCTAAGCTTTCGTTTATATATAAGATCAGCACGAGCTGTCTGATCAACAACAAAAGTAAACGTTTTGCCCATACTACGGGAAACAGTTGATCGTCTCTACTGCCTAACTAGAAAGGAAGACATAAGGAGCTTAGATATAATGTATTCACAGCACATGCACCTAGCACTTTATCATTGACTTTCATGTGAGATAGTGTATGCGAATCCATGGAACAAAGCATGTCACCCGCATTGTTGCTCCGGTATAAACTTCATGAACGAGATTGCTAATGCCGCGGCGCCAAGTCCGACCATGCTTAGCAGGACAAGGGATCCTTGATGACACATTATATGATTAGCATGTCCCGCGTTAACCATTACCTTTTGTCGTGTACATTGGTTGGCTTCCAACCCTTCATACCTCTCTAGGGAGAGAATCCTTCCTGTTACTCGTCTCACTGCATCGGACTAGCCCCGATGCAGTGAGACAAGTCCTTATAACACCAAGTCCTAGATAATATCTGACTGGAAAAGGACTCTAATGGAAACAAGAGACATGTGAGCTCGGAGATACTTCTTAATTTGGTTGATTTTATTACCTAGTAGTTACCGTATCCGTGCACCGAAGACCTTCGGGAACTATTCGGTAACCTCTGTGGACAACACAACCTCCCGGCCATACTACGTTGTAAGCCAGCCAGAGCTAGCCAACAAAGCCGTCCGGTTTGTAGAATAAGCACAGATCCTTGGGCATGTTGGGATCGCAGACGCGTAGACGGCAGCCGAGCGCTGGAGGGAGACTGTAGGTATCGCGGCTGCACCCGCAGCGGCCGAACTGCCACTCTATTTAACTGTATTTTGTAGAGAGAATTTGTCACATAGTCCTATAGAACACTCCACCAAGAAATTTTATAACAATAACCATAAAGTGTGGCTCTACAGCCTCATCTCTGTAGTGGGCTTGGAGGGCTGGAGCGGGTGTCCGGTGACTCTGGACGTTCAGTACACCAACATACAACGCTACGTGGCACAAGTTTTATACTGTGGGGACACTAAAATCTCATATATGGCATCACCTCGGAAAAATCTTTACCCAATTTGATATAGCACGAGCTCTCTTTTTTTTTAACTATAATTATAGGTACCTCCCATGCAACCGACAAAACCGAAAAATGGCGGCCCCATCAACCGCGATGCAACATCACGCCAAAACACCGCCAAAACACCGCATTTTCGCATACCT